ATTTGTCATGTATTCTACCAAAAGCTTTAAAACAGTTTTCAAAAAAATATTTTAAACCTTAGATGCTTTAGAATAGTTAATATCGTTTCCATTTTACAATTGAAATTGAGGCATGGATGGGCTAAATAAGTTGCCCAAGATCACAAAGTAAATTGTTGTGGGATGGAAAATGGTATTTTTGTCACCAAGAATGTATTTATTTAATTTCTAATAATAACCATCAATTTTTAGGGCATCTGTTTTTCAAGCTCTGTTCTACAAGCCCACTGTCTTCCTGGCTGAACATCCCTATGATTGCTCCTGAGAGAAGATGGAGCTGTAGCCATTTCCCACCAAAAAAATAAAAATCATAGCATGGAAGAGAGAAGACTATGCCAAGAGATGGGAAGAAATTCAGTTCTGATCATACTATTTGATCCTTGAATTTAGCCCTGCTTGAATCCAGATTCCACTAAAATTTTTTAATTATATGAACAAATTCCCATTACTTGCTCAAGCTAGTTTAAATCATGTTTTCTGTTACTTGTAATGATACTTTAGTGGAGCCAGACTTTAAACCCAACTCTGCATGACTTTAAAGTTGATGTAATAATCTATATATGAAAGTGCCTTTCAATGGTTATTATACTGAGGACAGAGGAAGTTCGAGGAAATCTTCACTAATATCTATTGACTTATAAGTAAAAGATACTATAATTTCCTTCTTCTATTAATAATGAGAAAATTGTCTTGTAAGAAATCAAATGTATGCAATGTGACAATTTATTGAGGAAATGCAAAAGTAGTAGCTGGCTTTCTCAAAATGATAACTTACATTATATATGAGTTTTTCATCATTAATGCCATTATAATTTTCTGTAGACATGGGGCAAATTTTACTTGAAAGTCTCCAGTTAAGAGAGATCTCAATGTTATTTATTTCTTTTTCCAAAAGCAATCCTCTGATATGTGACATTTTTCCCTGCTAGCTGGAATTATGTAACTGTTTCTTAATAGGAGTCACATATAGGGCCCCTTTGCTTTACTTCTTTTCTTTCTAGTGCCAAATCAATATATTCTAGTAATGGGACAGATGACTCTGTTCTCCTCCTCCCTCCACTAACAAGGAAATCACTTCACCTCATTTAGACTCTTCAAACCTGACCTCATATTTAAGCCATCAGAATGAATTGGAGCCAAAGGAAAAATGACTATCCTCAAAGACACAACCCTTAGCAAGGCTGATAAAAGACTTTTGCAAGTGGCACATGAAGAATTTGCTTCTCCTTGTGCTGGATGAAAACACAGTGTGTGTTAATTTTTGAATGATACTTATGCTTCCTAGCTCCAAAATGAATAAAGTTCTGTGACTGTTAAGACACTCATTCATTAATGCCCTTGGCACAGAAATAGTAGCAAATCTTGTGGCCCATGTACTGTACCCACCTTAGCCCGACTGCTGGATAGTTTCTGTATATGACTTCTCTGACATTGTGTGTGTGTGTGTGAGAGAGAGACAGAATTTCTTTTTTGTCACCCAGGCTGGAGTGCAATAGCATGATCTCGTCTCACTGTAACCTCTGCCTCCCAGGTTCAAGTGATTCTCTTGCCCCAGCTTCCCAAGTAGCCCAAATTACAGGCACCCATCACCACGCCCAACTAATTTTCATATTTTTAGTAGGATGGGGCTTCACCATGTTGGCCAGGTTGGTCCCGAACTCCTGACTCCAAGGGATCCACCCACCTCAGCCTCCCAAAGTGCTGGGATTACAGGTGTGAGCCAACACACCTGGCCCATTACTTCTCTGAAGTTAGTGCCAGCCATTTACTGAGCAATGAGTAAACATGGGAACAATTAACAATTATGTGTAAAACATGGCAGCAACATAAAGCAGATGTAGTGAGTTTGCAGAAAAAAATCCCAAGACACAGAACTGCTTGATAAAACAGGCTTAGCAACTAGCTTTGATTTCATTTAGATTCTTCATTTTTCAGGCTTCCAAATATTGCCTCATTACTGCTCTGAGTATCGGTGCTGCCTCCTGTAGGCTGGGGGATGGAAAACAATATTTTTCATATGTAAAGACTAATTTTACTGTGAGATCTCTTAATGTATCAGTTCTTGACTTAGACCTATGTGAGGTATGGAGTTGGGAGGGAGTAGAGGGAAGGTATGGAAACTTTACAGGGTTGAGTAGAGGCCAAGAGACCAAGACCTGTTTATGCAAAAGATCAATGGGCAGTTAATTGCCTTGAGACCTCTGCCTCAATTTTAACTTTGCATCCTTGCCTAGAGGGAAAAGAGTGGAGCATTCATTCATTAACCTATTTATTGAGAGTCTGTGATTATCAGTCACTCTAAGTGGTGGTAGTAAGGTGAAGGTTTAGGGAGGTAGAGTGAAAAGAACAAAATGATTTTTATCCTGAAGAAAATCATAATGAGTGGAAAATTAAAACATAATTTTTTAAGTCAATGGAATAGAAATACATTCAGGGTATTTGAAAGTTCAAAGGAGCCTCCCATCATTTCTCCCCATACTCCAACCCCATCACACACACTTTCACCCACTAAGACTTTTCCAGCTTGGATTCCTTCCTTGAAATACCATTCCTCACCTGGCTCTACTTAGTTGACCAGAAGTACTTTAAAGATTATATCTTTATATTTTGTATTTGCAGGACTTGAAATATAGTGAATATTCAAGACATCTTCGATGAATAAAATACTGTCCAATCCCTTTGTTTTATAGATTGGTTGATGAAGACATTGGGTGAAAGGACTTTGGGCCAATATTGAACATCTACAGTTTATTTAGTGCTGTTTTTTGTTCACTGGCCTATCTACTCCAACCTGTCTTTTGTCTTTACATCACATGACTGCCCAAGGTGCTCTCTGTTATAATACATAACAGTCCAAATATACATTATGACAGACAATGCAGCTGCCCACATCTGTCAGATGGCTCCTTCTGTGACAACCGAGGATAAGAATTTTTTTCCTCCAAGAATTGAAACTAAGACTTCAAGAAACTTTGACAGTTAACTGTATCACCCTCAGTGGAGGAATAAAAATCTCTTTGACATCTAAGACAAAATGGCCATTTACCATCTATCCAAAAACTCTAGTGAGGACAACCATACTTTCTGAGGCATGTTGAATAGCTAAATTTTAGAATTCTTTCTCACAATTGGCTGAAATACGACTGAAGTTTCACAGATTTATCCTTCTTCCTCATGATGAAACTAAAGATGTTTGTTAAGTGTTCTCTGTGACAAGTTGGTCTGATTGGACCTTCCATAGGATTACATATTCCCACATCCCCTCATGGCATGGATCTCATAAGGATGGATCTGAAAATCAAAAAGATCACTGTTTTTATTTAAGTACTGATGGCGCTATACAAATACATATAAATATGTGGGTTAAAAAAAGGAGGTGGATGTAGCATGGCTGTAAGAAGAGTGAATATTCTAATGACCTGTCTTGAGTGAAGCTGATGAGACTTTGAGTATTACTGTACCTGTTAAGGCTATGCATCTTACTTAGAGAGAAATTTGGAATTTGTTATTTAAAAGTAAGTTTAAATAGAGTACTAATATCTAGGAAGGTCAAGTTTGTTAATTCAACACAAATAAAAATCCAAGTCATGGTCATTCAGGACACATAAAGTCAAAGTAATTTCAAATAAAATTACTGCTTGACTGAATGCTTAAACAATTTTGGATTGCTGGAGTAAATCAAAAAATACTCATAATGTTAGCTCATTAGATTCACAGAGAGATGTGCTGATTTAATTCAAGCGTACTGCTGTTCATTTCAACTTTACCTTCTTTTCTTTGGATTATTAGATGCTTTTGTTAATCCTGTTTGACAAGCTGCATCTAGTCTTGTGAATTTAACCCTTTTGTGAATTGTCTTTGCTATTAAAAATTCTGTAACTATCAATCACTTGAATCATGTGGAGTCATGAAAAATGTCTGATCCTTGAATGCACATCTTTTCTCTCTCCATCTTTCTATGTACAGAATAAATTAGAAGCTTATCTCTGATGTTAATATTTTTGATAGTTTAAATATGTCACTTTACATATGATTTCTATGTAAAAATTATTTCTAAATATGATAAAATTAATCCCAGAGTTAATATAGGTTCAGCTGATATTTTGTCTCAGCTATTATTTTATAGCTTGGTGAACTATGGGAGATTTAGGGTGAAATCTTAATTTATTGTTGTCACATAATGTTTCCCTCTATATAGGAAAAGAGAATATTGTTAAAAATTACAAAATTACCCTAAAAAGAGGATCCCCTTTTTTCTTTAAGATATGTACAAGTTCACACTCAGAAAAGTTGAATGTTACGTATATATCTCTGGTATTTTAGGTTTTTCACTTTGGGGACTGCATGATAATTCTCAGTAAATCCATTTGAGAAAAGATCTGTTCCTCTGTTTAAGAATTGTTTAAAGACTGCAGTAAATGGTAGTGTGGTAGTAGATAAATTCTATCCCCTGCTTCACCTCTAACCACTGCACTCTTAGACCATGAACAAGTTTGAAAAATAAACTATCATGTTATATTCAATTATTAAGTCAAGTGGACATTGTAATCTACCCTCTCCCTAATGTGTCTGCCTCCAACATATGAAAACCACAATAGCTTGACCTCAAGGATTCAGACTGTTGAATTTGCCCCTACCAAGCAGAGGTGGTGGACAGCATTATGAGTAATAGTTGAAAATTGTTTATATTTTTATTTTAATAGGGAATAAAGAGAACTATAAAAATCCTTTAACTGTTTCCTCCTATCTATTAGTGTCTCAAAATTTTTGACTCATAGCAAGTAGAAAAATCACAAGATTCGCTTCAAAACAAAAATATTAAAACCTCAACTGCATGGTTTTCTATGATGTAATTCAGTTATTATAAACTCTGCTTTGTCTCATAAGAATACAGTTATTCACTAAGAATATTCAGAAGAAAGGAAAAATAAACATATAAATGTTAATATTTGTCCCATTTCAGCTTTGCGCAACGGCAGTATTGCAGCCAATGAGGTTTATCTGAGGTGCAATTATTGCTAATTGAAAACTTTTCTCAATACCCCACCATGAAGACTTAAAATACAGTAGGCATTGGCAATTTTTGACAGTCTTTACGGAGATTGAATAATTAAAAAAAAAAAGATTTGTCCCATTTCATACCTCATCTAGCATGGTTTATTTTCCAATTGCTACAAACATAGCCATTTTTTCTCTAGAACTCTTTCCCCAGGAGACTGAATTGTAGAGATAATACTGATTGGAATGATTTCCATTTTATACTTAAAGACAGCTTCTTAGGTGTTATAAGAATGGTAAAATATAGACTGTGTCTAAACAAAATACAGCAAACAAATGCAATCTTGGGGCTATCTGGGCTTAAAAAAAGGATTTTCTATTGTAATTAGCTAACCATTTCAGAAAAAAAAATAATAATGTCTGAGTTAACTCATTTAATCTGACCATCTATCATTGTCATTTTAAATATCTATATCGAGTATTTGGGCACAAGTTTTGTTTATAGGTACATGAGAAAATATAGCATATAGTTAATATATTAAACTGGCTGTCTTTATATCACAGCATCATTTATTTAATCTATTATGTCATTTAACCAAAACCAAACATTGAAAAGCAAGCATGGATATTGTAGTTTTTTTCACAGAAAAAAAAGCTTGACTATTATTTTTATGAAGTTGCAATGAATTACAATTTTCATTCACACCTCATTTCAAGAAAATGAGCAAAGGATATTTATAGACACGTTTTTGATAGATACCTCAGTGACAATGGAAGTCACTTTTAAATTATAAGGTAAAATGTGAAACTAATAGGTGAAATTTGACATGTTAAGAGTTTCATCTTCCTCAAATATAAAGATAAGAACCAATGTAGTTTGAAAATAGCACAAGTCTTTCACTATCCTATGGATAGATATTTTGGAAAACCTATTACTTTTACAAATTAAATTTAGAACTCCACTGCCTGGTTTTTTCTTTGTTTATATATTTGTATTCCATCTTATCTTAATAAAGTTTTAAGAGGAAAACATCTTTATGATTTACATTTTATTTTCCAGGGTGCTTCAGTAGGCTACATATTAGTAAATCTATCCTAAATCCACTTATTTTTCAACAAATATTAATTATTATGCAACAGGAACCATGGGAGGTAATGGAAATAGAGTAGTAAATCAAACAGACAGAGTCTTCATTCTGAAAGAATAAGAGAGATGAACATAAATGCTAGTAGAAGAATAAACTGTAAGTTGGGGTAAATGCTATGAAAGAATAAAAAGGAATGAAGAAAAATGTGTGTGGGGGGGTGGAATGAAGCTACATTACATGTGGTAACATTTCTTTGAGAAATGGATATTGAAATATTGAATTAAATAGTTAAATGGTGGTAGTTGCATAAAAACTGTAATAAAGTGAATGACAAGCAGAAGAACTCAGTGAAGAAAAATGTGGCAGGCATATAATGAACAATAAAGGTATTGTTGTATTGAGCAACCCACCAGGGAGAAAGCAAGAAGGATCAGATTCACGAAGGCACTTGAATTTTTATTCCAAGTGCAACAGAAAGGCTTTCAGCAGAGAAAGGAAAAGATCTGCTTCAAATTTTAAGATGATGTGTAAGGAAGGCGGCAAGGGTGCAAGCAGGGAGATTGCTTGAGAGGCTGCTGCAGAAGTTCATATGAGGATTGACATGATAGACAAATGTGATAGCTTTAGACAAGGAAGCAAGAGAAATTCATAATATATTTAGAGGAAAATTGACTGAAACTTGAATCATTGAAACTTTCTAACAAATTGGATGTCACGGTGAGCAGGAGGCAAGAACAAACCGGAAGAAAAAAAAAGCTTCTAGGTTTCTGCCTTTAGAAATTTGGTATATGATAGAACATTTACTGATATGTGGAAAATTGGTAATTTAGTAAAAATAAAAGGTTCTGTTCTGCATTTTGAGTTTGACATTTTTGAGGCATCCAATTATGGATATTAAGAGTTGAATTGGAATTTAGAACCCAGAGGAAAGATTTGGGCTATAAATATATATTTTTTATATTATCAATACATGGGTTTTATTTGGGATAATCCTTTTTTTCTACTGATAATATGATCATATGTTCAGGATTAAGTACAGCCCCAGCTACAATTCAAATCATTGTAATTAGTGGAAAAGAATATTTAGGGGCTCATAGGTTTCTTGATATTTTCTCAATAAAACTAGATTATATCCTTTGTAGAGACATGAAAGGATCTGGAGACCATTATCCTTAGCAGACTAACACAGAAACAGAAAACCAAACATGGCATGTTCTCACTTTTAAGTGGGAACTAAATGAAGTGAACAGATGGACACATAGACAGGAACACCACGGAATGGGGCCTATTACAAGGTAGAAGGTAGGAGAATGGAAAGGATCCGGAAAAATAACTAATGGATACTAGGCTTAATATCTGGGTGGTAAATTAATCTATATAACAAACCCCCATGACACACATATACCTGTGTAACAAACCTGCACATCCTACACATGTACCCATGAACTTAAAATGAAAGTTAAAAGAAAAAACTATATCTGTGGTTACTTAGCATTTTCACAAGAACAAATTTATAGAGTTATACAGAATGATACAAGACACAGTTTTTCACAAAATAGTATAAGACACACAATAATGAAATTTTTCCTTTTGCTATGAATAGTCAAATCATGCTATCAAGTATGAAGTCTCCATGGATTAGCCTAGAATACAAACTTTCATTAAACCAATTGCATTTATTTCTATTAGCACTCATCCTTTTGAATTCTGACTGCTTGAATTCAACAATTGATCAGAACTTTCTAAAATTATAAATTTTATCTTCTTACCAATTTCCTCTTGTCCTTAGATAACAATTTAATGAATGGAATATCATGTCAATGAAAATACCACTTGTTCCAGGAGGTACATATAAAATAGCAATTTCACAATGGCAAGAATATTACACAATAAATTCATCTGAGTAACCAACTGAATAGTTGATTAGAATCCCAGATTTTGTTTAAATAGATAATATGTTATCATTACTTAGTTTAAAAAGGTTTACTAACTTCCATCATGTGATAATTTATTTTATGCACTGGAGAAGTCATTAGGGAAACAAAAAGTAAAGAAATAATTTATCAGCATTCAAGGGTTCAAATGGGAAATTGAAAGGTAGCAAAAAACCCATGTAATATCATATGATAAGGACAATAATAGTAACATGTGTAAGTAATAGTAACATGTAAACATAGTAACATGTAATAACACATTAGAAAAGTTAGTGGCATGCCTACCTAAGTAGCTTTGAAAGATAAGTCAGAATTCACAAGAAGAGTAGGGAGAATATCACATGGAGAAAACAGTGTGAGCAAAAATGCAGATGTGGCCACAGGAGGAAAGCTGGTCCCTGGGCCTCCTACCTTCTCTTCCCAAACTCCATTCTCTCACACTTCTCTTCTTTGGCCACTCCTATGAGCTCGGTATGATCACATTGAACATGTAATCTAAATTCATGAAGGTGAAACTGGGAAGAGGCTGGTATAGTACATGGATGAGGGTTGGCATCATTTAGTGAAAGAACTGAAGGATTTCTGGTGCCAGGAACATGGTTTAGAAGAGGGAGACACACATTATCCCAGTGAACTTGTCTCTTGCCCTGACTGAAGGGTGGTACTGGCTGCAGTCACCTACATTTTCTCTGCTTCTGAGATATATTAGTGTAAATGCACACTCTCAATCCTTAAGATATTTTTCCAAGTGCTAATATTGATAACAGTATTCTCCGTAATAGAATGATCAATGATGGTTGCCTAAGACAATGAAGAATAAATAAAATTATTTAAAATAAGTGAAGAGAATGTAGCCTTTTCAGCAGTTTATATTCATTTTAAAAATTATGCTTCATTTCCTCTTGTAACTTAATAAAACTAAATGTAACAGGATGTTTTTTTCTTAATTTTTAACAAGAATGCAACACTTTTCTCTGAAAGTTTTGATAGTTGATATTGTCTGTCATCTTCCTTGTGGGAAAACAGTTCAATTAACTTATGTATTAAAAAGTAATTTGCTACAAGAGAAGAACACTCGTCTTTATTCTATCTCATTTTCATAATCCTTTGAAACACCCTAAACATAATGGAAAACAAATAAATATGCCAGACAATTTATAGAGTTACATAGCAGTCCATCCTCTTTGCTCACATGTATTTATTTTGCCATTTCTGCTTGAATGTTTTATCCTCTGATGAATGCAGTATTTTCTAATTATTTTGAAGAAAGCCTAACAGAGATAGGATTAATCCATTAAACACGGTCTTGTTCCTGCAACTTTGTTACCTATTTTAGAAATTTAAGTCTTGTTATCACTTCAGTTGATAAACATGTTAATAAGAAATTTGACTGAGAAAAATAAAAGCATAAGAAAGAGATATTCCCTTGACACAATAGAGTCCTCTACAAATGATTTCTTATAACTTTTCTTGGGTGAAAATTCTAACAAGTCTTCACAGATTAAATTTCATGGTCCCCTAATAAACAATCCTATCTTTACTTTGATACAACTAATCACAGAAGCCTAGCCAATGTATTATCTATAAGGATTTTTGTCCTCAGTTGACATTTACTTTTCAGATTGTAAACCAAAAATAAAATTCTAAGCTATTCAACTAACTGAATGGAACCCACCTCTTGGCCAACAAGATCCCCCAGTCTCCACAAAAAAGAAAAACGTTCAGACCCTGACAGGAAGTGGGAGTTGAACCGGCCTCATTATACCCTCCTCCCTTTGTTGCTTCCCTTTTATCTTAACTACTAATGTGAAGGTCCAGAACTCCTGACAATAATACAGCTGCACTAGGTTGCCATTCTTTAAAAGAAAGCTGTTACTTGAGTTCAACAATTGATCAGAACTTTCTGAAATTATAAATTTTATCTTACTTCTTACCATTTTTCTCTTGTACTTAGAGGCAACAGGGTTTACATTTCATTAAGTTTATTCCCACATCCTTGGTGAGATTTGCCCATGATTTCAGACTTTTCCTGGAGAAATAAACCCTATTCCCAATTCAAAATGTGATGGATTTTGAGAATTT